TGACACAAACCACCATACACATGCAGCGAAGAAAGCAATAAACTCTCTTCTACCAAACTCCATTGTATATATATGTAAACGCACTTTCTTTTTCTTTCTTTTCTTTTTCCCCCCGTCTTACAGTACTGGACTTGATGTACCATGAAAATGAGCTAACAGAATGTTGAATCCAAACAACTGTTGGATTCTTGGAGTGTATGATTTGCGTAATTGGGCAACCAGAAAATGATCCACATCTTGCGAGTGATGAAAATCATGCACCCTCAAACGCGCATGCTTATACTGTTGCAGCAGGCACACTGTTTTACAGTGATACAGACCTGGGACCATTAAAGATTGTGTATAACCATATCATTAGTGTTCCTTTTTCTTTCTTTTCCCCCCTGCTTAAATATTATATAAATAATATAGTCTGATAGGAGCCAGCCTGCGTTTCCCGATAGAAGGGAGAGATTGAAGAGTGAGAAAAAATATTAAATAAAAGGAGAGAATTGATGATGTAGTATGTATCATGCATAATGTTATGTTTGTTTAAATGTCCTTTAATAATAATAATAATAATAACATATTCCTTCAGTATCATTGTTAAACAAATGGGATGTGGGGGAGAGAAGATAAGTTGGTGACGGGGTGATAGTGCAAAAGCAAAGTAAAAATAGCACACACCAACAACAAAATCTTTCCCCTTTGGATTCATTTTATCCTATCGAACTTATCATGGCAGAGAATTGTCTCCCTTCCCTTATTATATTCATGTCTTTTTTATTTTTAAATCCCATATTGTGTTCTATATATCTGTGTAGGGGCCTGAATGATTTAGGTTTTCACTTAAACAGATCAGGTTTTTTTAAAATATTTTGAGATTAGTCTAGTCTATTAGTCAAAGATAGGTTAATTCATAACCCTAATTTGGTCTGTTTTCTTAAAATACAAGGTTTAAGCTAATTTATTAATCTGTTTAAGTCTTCTACGCAGGTGTTCAAATGGATATTTTTTTATTTTAATATTTAAAAAACAATATAATATAATAAAAAAGTTATAAAATAGCATTAATATAAGTATTAATATCAGAGTTCAGATGGGATTAAAACCGGGGAGATAAAGATATAGTTGCTATCATGAATTGAGAGTTTAGCCAAGATGCTGCTTTCTGCGTAAGACTTCAGACTAGTGGTTCCTCCATTATTATACAGGCTTCCAATCCACGAATAATTTGCTCGCCTAGTAGTCCTAATTTAATTTATTCTGTTTAACACAAATTATTTCAGAATATAATAAATTTTGGATAGATTAATCTTTATTTCGTAATTTTTCCAATTGCTTAAAGAGAAAATCATTAACAAGCATTAGTAATCAGAAAGCTTTACAATAGTTAACAATTAACAGGGCTACCTGTGATAAAAGTAATTAAATGTGCAACAAAAGTACTAATATTAGGTTTGCCAGACCAATGAAAACAAATGGTCTGGTACGATATTGAATCGTGTCCCTTCAGGACTGATTATGCTAACATGTCCCCTTATCAACGTCTACATCACATTATTATGTGCCGTGATCGGTCCACACATACGGGTCGGAGCGCAAATAATGGCCAATAAATATCCAAATCTAAAACACGCAAGCACACGTTCATGCATCATTGTTTTTCCTTCGACTTGTGGAATCTTGTGATTTGATTTCTTATCTTTATCCTGCAAGTACTGAGTAATTAAGGCTAATGCATTAAGTCAGTTATATATATAACTGTAGATGCTATACTATATAAATGAAGTATTTTATAATTCTCATTCAACAAGAGAATTGAAATCTTCCTACACATCTTTTGATTTTCGTGCTGACATGAGTCCTACGTATAATTTTTTTTAACATATAAGTCCCACATAATTTTTGTCTCTACAATATAAAATTTTAATTCTTATACAACTTGAGAATTATAAAACCCATAAAAGAATAATGCTAATATAAACTCGAGTTAAAAACTTTGTACTGTTTTTGGGGTTACCACTGATTTTACATTTTAAGAGACAAAATGATTAATTAACAATGACTTACAGTTTACAAAGAGAAATGAGAATGATTTCAAATTGTCGATGCGGTTCATTAGAAAAAAATATAAAAACAGTGGAAGCTTGAGAGGGCAACAATGTTATTGCTTGAATTAATTCAACCTAAAAATTTATTAAGTGAGGTTACCTTATGATTTACACTTCTCTAACACGTTATTTCACAAGAGAATCCATTAGGCTTGAAATGCACAAGCCCATCTACCTGTGCTAAGAAACTCCACAAGACTTAATTAATTATTAATTAAATGAGGACGGTGATGATCGAATCCATGACACTGAGACTCTGATACCATGTAAAGAGTCAATTCAACCAAAAAATTTAAGCTATTGCATGAGGTTACCTTAACGGTTTTATACTTCTCTAACACTTTCTTTAAAAAATTTAAAATTAAAAAATTACCTAGTACCAACTTAAAAAAGTTCACATATGCAACTCTGCGCACAGTAGTTTCAAGGCTTGCAATCACAAGGTGTGTGCATGATAATATTTTTAAAAATATTTTTTGGGAATTGAAGTCATTAAGAATTACGTTGGATAAAATCGATTCATTTTTCTATTTCAAGAATAAACAAAAATTAAAAACAAACTATCTTCTTCGTTCAAAAAAAAGTTATTTATCTCGCAAATTAAGGCCGTAAAACATATATTGATACACACCAAAAGCAACCATAACGCAATTACTTGGGTAACCCTTTATGAAATATATTTAGACATAGGTAAATCAATTGTTTTCAGCTATAATTTTCCAGTTAACGGCACATTTACCATGTGTATTATATGCAATGCATGCATTATATTGTCTAGAATGAATATATATTATGAATTGACAAGCTATAGAATCTTCATTCTATAAAGAAGGAAGCTTTGAGAACTGAAACGTGTACAACTAAGTACTATGCAAACTTTACAAAATGAGTTATAATATATATATTAAGGTATAATGAGTGTTCTTCTAAAGGATACAAGTTATATCCATTTAACAATTTTAATTATGCATTTCATGTCTGCTGACGTGAAAAATGAAAAAAAAAATACAAATTTATTATTTTATGTATTTCCAGAAATGCATAATTAAAATTTGTTAAAGAATATAAATTTGTGTTCTTTAAAAGTCACTCATTTTTTTTCCAATATATTATTATAATAATATGTGAAACCTGGACGGTGAATTAAAATTAAACTCTTCTTTCAACAAAAAATAAAAAATAAACTCTTCGTAAATCTACCCAACGAGGAAGGCAAATCAAGTTGGTGAATGGTGAATGGTAAAAGTGAAAACTATAACAATTCACTGGCTTTCCCGCAAAGGGCTGGGACTCAAAAATAAAGCAAGGTATTTCAGTGTGGCTGCATGGTAAGTTCGTTAACAAATCCGGCACATGAAGCAGGTTTCCATCAGAGCCTGATCCATCTCGAAAAGCGTTCCGTTTTCAATGAGAGGGGTAAGATATTTTACTCTGTAGCTGCGGGACATAAGGGACAATAGAGTGCACTGAATCATTTAGCGAAAAATGAATAATGCACTACCCTTTCCCATCTGATGGCAGCCACGTGTTCAACTCATTTGCATCCGACGGCAAGGCATTTCCCACCCTCAACTAGGAAGCTATATTCCGACCTAGTCATTTAAAAGAGTCTGGTAAGATTTCTGACACCAGGCACGTGCGTGGGGCTTCAGGGTTCTTAAAATCAAAGTAATTTTAGGGCAAAGTTAGCCTTCTCACACTTCCACTCAATGTATTCTAACCTAAAAAAATTTGCAAAGGAAAATGATTCATGCACCGAAGAAAAGGCACTTATTCCAGCAATTCATTCAATTTTAGGTGTGCATCTAAACCCCTTAATGGGTGGAGCCTCTTACATCTCATAAACCCAAATTCTCACGCTTAAACCCCCCTAGGCGACACGTTTGTTTCTTTAAGCAATCATTGCTTATAAATAATATATATTATTTTGGTAAAGGCCTTATAATTGATAATATTGTTTAGAGGAAGTAAGTATTCTTTTTATATAGTTCTAGCTAGTACCACTAATAAAAACAAAATTTTCATAAAACTTGCAAGAAGTAATGATAGAGCTTGCTTGATTAAATCCAGAGAAGACTAACGCATCCCAACAACATTTAATGTATATATGCCAACAAAAGATAATGATAATCTTTTTATATAAATATATTTTATAGTTGATATACTCATCAATCAAACATATGGCCTTCAAGGTCAATGGCACATAGCATCTGCCTAATGCTCTTTGACATGTGTCAATTATCATTCAATACCATAATTTTTTCAATTTCAAATCTGTACTCTTTCCTAAATAGGAAATCTAAACTAATAACAAGAAGTTAAAAGCTCAACAACTTTGTGGAATGATCATAAAGGAAACGAAAGAATAATTGAAGCTTTTCACTAATAGCTTCTTCTTTTTTCTACTATTTAGGGGGTGTTTCAATTAGTTTTCGTGTTTTCAATTATTCTACTCACCTAATTTAGTCAAAAGGTAAACCATGTACGTTAGGTCAATGAAGTTTACAAAGATATTCTTAATTGATTGACATAATTATGATTACGCTTGATTAATAATTTATACCAATAATATAATATAGCTATTACTGAACCACCTGTTATATATATGAGAGGTATAAACGTATAGGGAGTCACCGCCTCTAAGGTGTTAATACTTTGCTGAAGTGTGTTCCCGATATCACTATTTTATTGATTTTTCACTATTGTTCCTTCTTTCTCGCCAGTCTAACAGGCCTTCACACACTGCACATTCTGAAAGTACTCCTATTTCACCACTATTCTCTTTTCCCTTTCCTTTTCCCTTTCCCATCCCTCTGCCCATCCTTTTCTCTTTTCCCTCTCACGTTTTTTTGTTTCTCTGATTTTAACTTTACTTTTCTTCCCCCTCTCCCATCCAACAACCCATAAATGGACACTATTGACCAGTTAAAGTCGTCGTCCCCTTCATCGGAGGATCAGATGGACATGATGACTATGATGATGATGCACCTCCCTGAATATTCTGCATCTTACGGTGACGACGCCGTGGAGGGATTTCCACCGCCGGAGGAGTTACATGGCGCTTCTAACAACATACGCAGATCTATGCCACTAACAGATTTAATTGGTAACCCTCCTATGCCTTGGTCATCGACGTCATTCACACAGTTACCATCAACAACAATCTCTTTCGGTAATAACCCTACACCGATCCTTCAAGAACAAGAACAAACCTTTTTGTCAAACCCTCAAGCTACGTATACGGCTCCCTCAGAGAAGCGGAACTCGATGGCGGCGATGAGGGAGATGATATTCAGGATAGCGGCGATGCAACCAATACACATAGACCCTGAATCAGTGAAGCCACCAAAGAGAAGGAACGTGAAGATTTCAAAGGATCCTCAGAGTGTGGCTGCTCGGCACCGTAGAGAAAGGATAAGCGAGAGAATAAGGATACTGCAGAGATTGGTGCCAGGAGGAACTAAGATGGACACTGCTTCCATGTTAGATGAAGCCATTCACTATGTCAAGTTTCTCAAGACACAGGTTCAGTCACTTGAACGTGCTTCAGTTAACAATACTAGGCCAGGGATAGGGTTCCCTGTTGCAATGTCTAGTCGGAGTACTCCTGTCACTGTCACACCTCATCTTCCTCTTCCTAAACCTTACCAAGCTCGAAATGTTGAGTATTATGGAGACGCATGATAAATAAATATGATTAAGGTTTAGCATGTATAACTAGCTAGCTTATCAATTTAATACTCCTATATTTTTAGGGATAATATATTGATTATATATATATATATATATATATATATATATATATATATTTATATATATATATATATGTATGGTGTTTTTCATGCATGGCTATCATTCATTAACCCTGTTCATCTTGATTCAATTCAGGCTTCTAGTTTGAAATCCCAGCTGTATTAATGTGTTATCAATAAAATAAATTATGGCGAGAAATTTCAATTGTTATTTCCCGACCTAAGTACTGTCGTTCGTATGGAATCTCTAATATTTCTCTCCTTCCTCTTTGGGAAGTGTGAATTTTTTGTCGTCCAATTTCATACTCATTTTAAGGGCAATTAAAACTTGGCCAATTAGTTGTTTGCAGATTAGAATATGGGAGCAAATGTGGGCGTATGCGTAGACGGGGACAAAATAAATAAATAAGGACAGAGGAATAGAGGATAGCTCGATCTTGTTGATATTAATTAATTATATTGAGCGTAAGTGTTTTAAAACCTCACTCCGTCTCTGGGTTAACTCAGATCAACCCTGACCCCTCTCCTCTGAGGGTTGGGGTCACAAGTTGAACCCTATATGCATATCAACCACACCGACTCCCAAAACCCAGCCGAGTTTCAGTGACTCCCGGGTCAGATGGATCAAGGAGTCACTGCATGTTTTTTATTTTAAAAAAAAATACATGAAATAATATCATTTTATTCAAAAAATAAAATAAAAATGCTTGCAAACCTAAATCTAATCGTTCTCTTCTCTCCTAGCGACCTAGACGTTTTCAATATTCACCTCGCTGCCGTGAATCTTCTAGAAAATGTAAGAATTTTACCCATTCAAATGAAATTCTTACGGTCGTCGACGGAAATTAAACAAAATCTCATTCTTATTATTTCCTTTAATTTTTTTTTGTCAGGGAACTTCTCAAAAGAGATAGAACCGGGTCAACGTAATGACCCCATTAGAATATAAGTTTTGTATTTTGGTATCTTGATACTTTAATAGGTTGTGTAATATTGACTTGTAGTTGTAATTGGTGAATTATGTTAAGTATATTTTGAATCTTTGATAATTGGTGTGATTTGTTTTTTAATATTTTCATATAGGATATATATATATATATATATATTTTTAATAGATAAAACCGGGTCAGCGTAGTGACCCCATGACCCCTCGATTGAATCTGTGACCCTTTGACCCTTGACTTCGGCCGGGTCGATGGCCGGGTCGGGTTTTTAAACAGGGGACAATTTTTCATATATTTTTAGACTGATGTATTTCATGATTAATTATTTTTTTATAAAATTAATCTAATGACACAAATAATTTCAATTTCACGTATTATATGTTTTGATTAACTTATTTCTTGCAGAAGAGGGTTCAGTGTGAAAGATGGATGCACCAAAAAATTATGCTCCTGCAATTTGGGACACATGTACGGCCATAATGGGAGACTCGCTGGTCTGGGTTTCCGAGGCTCGAGAAAGTTGAAGACGACAAATAGTGGACACGGTGGATATAGTTGTAAAAGAGGGTGTAACGAGCTGTAAGGTGCAGCCCTATATATTCAATCTTGTTTATAGAATTTACATTAAAAAGTTCTTATAAAAATTTAAATATACTTTATAATATTGTATTATATATTTTTATTTCCTCCAAATACAACATAATAGGCCATGACAACTTCCCTGCAAAAGTGTGAACGTGAGGTGTTTCTGCGCTAGAGATAAAGTGCATATACTTGTGTGTGAGTGTAGCAACAAGTAGCAAGAAATGGATTGAGTACAGGGATTGAGGATAGAGGATTGAGGATGCATGAGAAATCCACGTGATTATCTGACAAGATTGCGGTGGTTGCGTTTACGATCGGGCACTGTGATGACGTCGTTCCTCGTCAACACCCTGACACGTGATCTCCATCTGCTTGGTCAACCATTTCATCTTACGTGGTTCTCCACGTCGGATATTCAATACTGTTGTTTATATAGTGATGTATCGTATTATTTCTGTAGTTTTTTTAGTTATTTTTTTAAAAAAAAGAGTGTATCAGAATATGCGATTTTTTTTTTTGAAATTAAAAGTTGGTACAACTTAGTAATTTTTATTTAAATTTTAAATTATTTTAAAAAATAATTACTCATTTTTGTTGGAAATAATCAAGTATGAGTTATAAAGAAGTACCACGTAGACTAGACATAGATCAAGTGATGACCATATAAGTGTGAAAGACCCATAAACCTGCAGCCTTAAGGTTTTGGGTTAAGATGTGGTGTCGGCCCACTTATTATGGTTTGTCATTTGGCCCATTGGTGGATGTACCTTTTGCAAAGGGTTTTGGGCTCCCTCGTTCCATTCTCAACAGTGGTATCAGAGCGTTCTTTTAAGGGTTTTGGGCTCCCTCGTTCCATGTGCTGCACTAAAGTTGTTTGATGAGTCTTAACGGTATCATAATGGGTCAGTTTTGGGTAGTATAATGAGTCATTAAGTTAGAGTTTATTTGGGTGTAATGTGTCTCTTCATGTTATGTTTTTCAGTTTTAGTTTCTGATTTATATTAAGTTTGAGTCAGTTTATGAAATTTGTATTCCCTCTTCAAACATTGTGAGTTATATTTCTGCATCTTAATTTTTCTCTATCAATTTTCTCTCTTATGATTTATATTGTTTGTGTCTTTCTCTCACTTAAAATGACATAATTTTATATCATTTAAAAGGACAAACTAAACCCTTAAAAGTATAATAAAATGAAGAAAAAATAATATTGTATTATTCATTCATTAATTCTTTCTTTATTATTATGATGATGATTTTGTTAACGTGTGATTTAAGAATCATTTTAGGAAATAAAAATAGCATTTATTATTCAATCTAACTACTTAAAGAAGGTGTCAGCTGAATCTTTTGCGGATATAAGAACATGATGTCAAAGCGCACGACTTTATCCCATATTTTCTAAATCATTTATTGAGCTTAAAAAAGCTATTTAAGAATCAAATATTAATTTTTTTAAAAAAAATTAATATACTAAATATTTGTAAAAAAATTTAACCATTTTGAGATGTCGGTTTCTATGAAAATTGAACTAGGAATGACACAGTCTTTGAAAAATTTAATATAATTTGAGATCGTAGGTCCAAATCAAATTATTTATAATGGAGTAAATAGAGTAAACAGTGCATGTCCATAGTTAGTTGATTTTATTTTATTTAATTTTTTTTTTAATCAAGGAAGTAATATAATATGTTAATATATTATATGTTAATATAAGATATAATATGTTATATCTTATAATATGTTATATCTATTTTAATCAAGGATATAATATGTTAATATAAGAGTGAATCAACGAAGTAGTAGTATGAACTAAAATTCCACAACGGATTCACCGTGTGTTGGAGACACTAATGGAGATAAATTAGGGGATTTGATTTTTTGTAATCATGTGTTAAATATAATCCATAAAGAGGGTAATAAGTCATCTGATTGCTTTGATTGTAAGCAAAATAATTTGGCCCTATAATTATATATTGAAGGGAACCCCTCTTCCTTAACCATCATTGAGAAGGGGAGAACATTATCAGTATGAACGTAGGATTAATGGTTGAATCACGATAAATCATGCATCTCTTTTTTAATCTTAATACCATGTAAGATTTCATGCACGCGCTGAGAATTAGGGAGAGGTGAAGGATATAGGTAGGGGTGTGCAAAAAAACTGGTTCACTTGCCCTGCCCTTGACCCGACCTTGACCTGACCCATAAATACTTATATTTTTTGAACTGGTTTAAATACTGACCCACTTTTATTTGGTCAGTTTTAGACCCGACTTGTTTTAATATTGACCCATTGACCCAAAACTTGACTCATACCATTATGTGAAAAAAAAGAAAATAACAATTACATTAAAAGAAAAGTTTTAACGTAAAACAATTACGTCCAATTTTTTTACGAAAAATATTTCCATAAAAAATTTTCACAATTTTTTGACGAAAAATATTTTCATCAAAAATTGTGACTAAAAGCATTTCTGTAAAAAAATTTGACGGAATATTTTTTTTGTGAAATTTTTTTACGGAATTTAAATTTCGTCAAAATATTTCACAACAAAATATATTCATCAAAAATTTCGACGAAACACATTTCTATCGAAATTTTTTGACGAAAAAAATTTTCATCAAAATTCTTTACAGATTTCGAATTTCGACGAAAACATTTTCATTAAACTTTTTGACCAAAAAAATTTTTGTCGAAATTTTTAGCGAAACTCATTTCTATCGAAAATTTTCGACTAAATATTTTGTCAAGATTTTTGATAAAACATATTTCCATCAAATTTTTCAACGGAACACATTTCTGTAAAATAATTTCGTAAAAATTTTTGACAAAAAATATTTCGATAAAAGTTTTGACGGAAAAAATATTCTGTCAAAATTCTTTAGAGAATCTAAATTTCGTCGAAGGTTTCGAATGAAACATTTTCCTCAAAGCAATTTTCATCGAAAATTTGGACGAAACACATTTCCATCAAAAAAATTTCATCAAAATTCTTTACAGATTTCAAATTTCGGCGAAAGTTTTTGACGGAAAAATTTTCGTTAAACTTTTTGACAAAAAAAAAAAGTTTTCGTCGAAATTTTTAGCGAAACACATTTTCTTTGAAAATTTTCAACTAAATATTTTCGTCAAGTTTTTTGATAAAAAATATTTCCATCAAAAATTTCTATGGAACACATTTCTGTAAAAAAAAAATTCGATAAAAAATTTTGACGGAAAAAATATTCTGTCAAAATTCTTTAGATAATCTAAATTTCGTCGAAAGTTTGAATGAAACATTTTTCTCGAAACAATTTCCGTTGAAATTTTCGTCAGAACACATTCTCATCGAAATTTTGAACGAAAAACATTCCGTCAAAATTTTTGATAGAATTTTTTTTCGTTTAAAACATTTGATGGAAG